ACCCTAAACCCTAAAGCCCAAGTGTATGCTGTTTGGGCACAGGGGCCCTGAGAGAAGGCAACGGCTCAAGATCCCTACACCCTGAACCTAAACCTCAAACCGGAAACCTCAAACCCCAAACCTTACTCCCGAAACCTCCCCCCCTAAACCTCATCCCCTAAACTTCCCCCAAACCCTAAACCTCAAAACCTAAACCTTAAACCCGAAACCTCACAGCCAAAACCTTAAACCCCAAACCATGTCCTCAAGATCCTGAGCATTCGGAAAAAGGTGAGTTCGGGGCCAGCTTCACTGAAACAGTGCCGAAGACGCCTCCCAGGTCTCGGATTTCCCCCACGCTTGGCAGTAAGGGCAGTTATTCTTATTCAACGTCAGGGCCTCCTACCATATGCCCTTGAGGAAGGAAGACCACTCTATATCTATATCTATATCTATATCTATATCTATATCTATATCTATATCTATATCTATGTATATCTGCTACCGCTGCGGCTGCGGCTGCGGCTGCTGCTGCTGCTGCTGCTGATGATGATGATGATGATGGTGATGGTGATGGTGATGATGATGATGATGAAGATACTGCTGATGATGACGACGACGATGATGATGATGCTGATCATGATGATGATGATGATGATGATGATGATGATGATGATGATGATGATGATGGTGAGGATGATGATGATGATGACGACCATGAGAACGATGATGATGATGATGATGATGGTGATGATGATGATGATGGTGAGGATGATGATGATGATGATGATGTCGATGGTGATGATGAGGATAGATCACACCTATGACAAACGGTTCTTTGGAGTACGGAACCTTGACCGGAAGCAATTCTCAAGATGAGGCGATGAAACGTGGCCTGGCCACTGCGAAGGAAAAGCAACGAGCCTAGCCGTGGTGAACTGTATTCATCTCACCAAGCCGGATAGCCCGTTAGGCCACTGAAAGATCTTTCAGTTAATTTGCAGAAAATCGTCAGCAAAGACTGTAGCGTAGCCTTACTTGATTGCTTGCTGCTTGCCACTGTATCGATTCCAGCACACAGGTAGGCCTAGCAGGGAAGATTGCAGAACCCCACAAACTCCGGATATGTCTCAAGTACCCCGCTCTAGACTTAAACCCTAGACCCTAAACCCTCAACCCTAAACCCTCATCTCGAGGACCCAAAATCCGAATTTCATACCGCAAACCACCCAAAAAAACCAACCCTAAACCCTGAAGCCTCAAACCGCAAACCCCTAAAGCCCTCAACCCTAAATCCAAAACCCTTAAACCCTGGACCCTCAACCCTAAACCCTTACACCCTCAGACCCTAAACCCTGAAGCTTAAAACCCCAAACCTGGATCTGCAAGTTCGGCCTCCAACGCCCGAGATGACAACAACCTCGGGAGCCTGGGCCGGAGGAGCTTCGACCCAAAACCCCGAAACGCATCAGCTCATGTAGGTCTTAATAATTGGAATGGGGTTTTGGGGCCCATTCTACTAAAATTAGAATAAGGAACCCCCCAACATAGTATAGGTAATTATTAAGGCCCTTATACTACAGTGACATGCCTACATCAAGGAGATAAGGGCTCCAAATAAGACACGTAAATTCACACAAACAAGGACCATAAGGCACAGCATCCCATAACCTTTGACCATTGTAGTTTGTTACGCTCTTTACTCTGCGGCTTTAGACTTTTACAACTGAGGGTCTTGGGCTGGAGACTTTAAGGAATCGGGTTAACCGATTAAGAAGACCACAAACCTGTCTGAGAAAGTGGCTGCGGTGGTGGCCTCCGTCACCGCAGTAGTTGTGGACGACACGGTCCCGGATGTTGTGGTCGACATAGTCTCGTCAAGGTTTTAGGGCAAAAGGGTCTTGGGCAGAACCGGCTGATCCTTTACGTCCAGAACCAACAGTGCAATTCAGGGTTTAGTGGATACACCGAAAACCCTTCACCTAACGATAGGTACAATGTCCCGTGGATCCAAAAATCTGTCTGAGAAAGTGGCTGTGGTCATGCTCAGTGTCATGGCCTCAGTCACCGCAGTAGTTGCGGACGACATGGTCGCGGACGTCGTGGTCGACGTAGTCTCGTCAAGGTTTTAGGGTCAAAGGGGTCTAGAGTCTAGGGCAGAACCGGCTGACCATGTACAGGTCAAGAGCCAACAGTGCGATTCAGGGTTCGCGGTTCTAGGCATACTTGAGTGAATAGACCGTAAACGCTTCACCTAACGATAGGTACAATGTGCCTAATGTGGTGGATTCGATGTCTATCATTGACACTGCCGTTCTTATCAGAACTTTAAAGTCCACTCTGGGTAGCAACTCTTGCCGACGAGCAGACAAAGCCATCCATGCACAACAAACATGTAGGCAGTTCTCTAAATTAGGACGCAAGAAACCTAAAGGAGCATGCCACTCATGCCTTAAGTTATTAACTCCGGTCCCTCATTTCGGAACTACTAGGTATCCCGACCCAGTGGAACTGCAGGTTCGGGGGAGGTGGTTAACAGCGACACCACAAAAGGACTCTTCCCGCTTTCAGCAAGATCACAGTACAGGATGTCAAGCCTCGCAAAGATGCCAGTGAGAGTATCGGAGAAACAGCTCTATGTCCCTCTCCAACACCCTAAAGCCAGAAAGTCTAAACCCTAAACCATGAACGTTCTCTTTGTTGGGTTTGCATCTGGCGTCCGGACTTTTCCTAAAACCGCCACCCACAGACCAAAAGCTCTGACTGCCCCGCAGGCCTACAAAGGAAGGAGGTTTGGGGTTTAGGGTTGAGGGTTTAGGGTGACGCAAGGTCTTGGATTTCAGACTATGGTTTTGGGGTCTCGGTGCAATGGAGTACAGCTCGTTTCAGACATCCCAATTAGGTACCTGGAAGAGTTGATATAGGGGCCTTCATAATTAGAGCAGGGGTTTCGGCCATATCTTATACTGATTAGTAAATCCCAGAAAGTTGGAACATGGATTTGGGATGAATCGCGCTGCGATTCCTTATGCTTTACCTTCTTTCTGGCTTCTACTGTAAGCTACTATGAGCATGACAAGGAACCCTCAGGAATTGTGTTGGCTATACCTGTGAGTTCTTGCTAAGGAACTTAAGTTACCACCATACGGATGTATAGTAAGCGACATGGTTTGCTTTTTTGGGTACCTCAAACTACGTTCCTGAAGAATATAGGGGCCTTAATAATTAGAATAGGGGTTTGGGGCCCATTCTGCTATAATTATAATAAGGAACCCCCCCTAAAACAGAATAGGTAATTATTAAGGCCCCTACATTACAGTGACATGCCTATATCAAGGAGATAAGGGCTCCAAATAAGACACGTAAATTCACACAAACAAGGACCATAAGGCACAGTGTCCCATAACCTTTGACCATTGTAGTTTGTTACACTCTTTACTCTGCGGCTTTAGACTTCTACAATTGAGGGTCTTGGGCTGGAGACTTTAAGGAATCGGGTTAACCGATTAAGAAGACCACAAACCTGTCTGAGAAAGTGGCTGTGGTCATGGTCATTGTCACGGCCTCCGTCACCGCAGTAGTTGTGGACGACATGGTCGCGGACGTTGTGGTCGACACAGTCTCGTCAAGGGTTTTAGGGCAAAAGAGTCTTGGGCAGAACCGGCTGACCCTTTACGTCCAGAACCAACAGTGCAATTCAGGGTTTAGTGGATACACCGAAAACACTTCACCTAACCATAGGTACAATGTCCCCATGTGTGGATCCAAAAATCTGTCTGAGAAAGTGGCTGCGGTCATGCTCATCGTCATGGCCTCAGTCACCGCTGTACTTGTGGACGATATGGTCGCGGAAGTCGTGGTCGACACAATCTCGTCAAGCTGTTAGGGCAAAAGGGGTCTAGAGTCTAGGCCATATCTTATACTGATTAGTAAATCCCAGAAAGTTGGAACATGGATTTGGGATGATTCGCGCTGCGATTCCTTATGCTTTACCTTCTTTCTGGCTTCTACTGTAAGCTACTATGAGCATGACAAGGAACCCTCAGGAATTGTGTTGGCTACACCTGTGAGTTCTTGCTAAGGAACTTAAGTTACCACCATACGGATATGTAGTAAGCAACATGGCTTCCATTTTTGGGTACCTCAAACTAAGTCCCTGAAGAAGAACCTGGACTTTCGGGCTTCTGCTGGAATATACGGTCCTTAATAATTAGAATAGGGTTTTGGGGCCCAGTATGCTATAAGTATAATAAGGAACCCCCCCAAATTGGCATAGGTAATACATAGGTAATAATTAAGGCCCCCATATTACAGTGACATGCCTATATCAAGGAGATAAGGGCTCCAAATAAGACACGTAAATTCACACAAACAAGGACCATAAGGCACAGTGTCCCATAACCTTTGACCATTGTAGTTTGTTACATTCTTTACTCTGCGGCTTAGACTTTTACAATTGAGGGTCTTGGGCTGGAGACTTTAAGGAATAGGGCTAACGATTAAAAAGACCACAAACCTGTCTGAGAAAGTGACTGTGGTGATGGCCTCCGTCACCGCAGTAGTTGTGGACGACAAAGTCGCGGACGTTGTGTTCGACATAGTCTCGTCAAGGGCTTTAGGGCAAAAGAGTCTTGGGCAGAACCGGCTGATCCTTTACGTCCAGAACCAACAGTGCAATTCAGGGTTTAGTGGATAAACCGAAAAACTTCACCTAACGACAGGTACAATGTCCCAATGTGTGGATCCAAAAAACTGTCTGAGAAAGTGGCTGTGGAAACGATTTGCGGACATGGCTCTGGGTTTAGGGTTTAGGGTTTAGGGTTTAGGGTTTAGGGTTTAGGGTTTAGGGTTTAGGGTTTAGGGTTTAGGGTTTAGGGTTTAGGGTTTAGGGTTTAGGGTTTAGGGCTTAGGGCTTTAGGGCTTTAGGGCTTTAGGGCTTTAGGGTTTAGGGTTTAGGGTTTAGGGTTTAGGGTTTAGGGTTTAGGGTTTAGGCTTTAGGGTTTAGGGTTTAGGGACCGGACCTAGATCTCCACATCATTTAGACTTGCTGCGCCGCTGCAGCTGCTCAGCAAGATCAGAACTATGAACACATCCTGGCCTCGACGATGGCTTCTACGGCATCTAGGATGGTAGCATCTCCGATAGTAAGGCCGATAATGCGGCAAAGGCACGCTGGTGGTCGCGGACAAGGCCGTGCTGTTGCATGCCAAGATCCTTCCGAATAGCTCTTAAACCCAAGACGCCTGAACAAACTGCAAAACCAGTAAAACCTAAAGCCCTAAACCCTAAAGGCCCTCATCCCTTGTAAATCTTAAACCCTAAATCCTAAAAACCCTACAACCATACACCCTGCAATTGCTAACCCTACCCAACAAGTCGCACGCATTGCATCCAAAGAACCTTCCAACGGACCTTTGCTCAATTGCATCTATGGGCACCCACTCTGCCAAGGCAAGCGAAGTCGCTGATATCCTGGGTGCTTGATAGCAAAACACACCTTGAGTCACCATCTTCCCGCTCGCTCTCTCTCGCTCTCTATCTCTCTCTCTCTCTGTCTCTATGTCTCTCTCTCTCTCTCTCTGTCTCTATGTCTCTCTCTCTCTCTCTCTCTGTCTCTCCCTCTCCCCCTCTCCCTCCCTCCCTCTCTGTGTGACTTCATGTGTGTATGAATACCAACGTAAACAGAAAAACAAATACCTAATTAGTCAATCAAACAAGCAAACTAACTAAACAACTAACTAACTAACTGACTGACTAACTACCTACCTGCCTAACTAACTAATTAACTCACAAACTAACCAACCAACCAAACAACCAACCAACTAATCAACTACCTAACTACTTAACCTAACTACCTACCTAACAAACAAACAAGCTAACTAACTAAACAACCAACCAACGAACCAACTAACTGACTAATAAACAGACAGACAAATAAGTAAGTAAGTAATCAGGCAGCATATAACATAAAACCCATATGCATATGTATGTATACATATTATCATCTCATAACATAATATATAATATTATATTATATTACATTGTTTTTTATATTCTCTTATCTTATCTTATATTATATTATACAACAGAATATATAATATGATATAGTGTGTCATATAGCATATAATACAGTATCACATCGCACCATGAAGTATACTACAGTATAGTATAGTAACATGCAATATAATATAATTGAATACAACAGAACAGAATAAAATTCCGGTTAATGTAACTTAGTAGCATAAACACAGAACAATATTGCACTTCTACGCACCCCAAACTATATATTCAAAGTATTATGTCATGCTTAAGGGTGTTATATTATGTTATACTATGTTATATGCTAGTATTGTGGACTAAGTTATTCTATTTTGGAAAACGATACTGACATGTTGCTGCGATATACTGCATTATACTGCATATCACTATAGTGTGTTGCATGATACTGCATATCACTATAGTGTGTTGTATTATAGTGCACTACGTTAGATTCACGGTTCTTGTGCTATGTTATGTTGTCTTATGTTATGTTATATTTCCATTTACATCATGCTTTTTAATGACCTATTATGCTATATGATGTGAGTGCTAATACTCGTATTAATAATGGTATTTGTGAACATATTAATACTAGTGCTAGTATTACCATTTATATTAGTACTAATATGAGTATTGCTATTGGTATGAATATCCGTATTGGTATTACGAGTAATATTTGTATTAATATCAGTATATTATCTAGTATTAATATTGACATCAGCAGTAACACTGGTATTGGTATTCTATTATGGTATGTTGTATTGTATTGTTAGCATATTATAGCATACTCTCGTATTCTATTTTATACTAATTTTACACGTTATATTGTACTGCATATACTGCTTACTGATTTAGTTGAGTAGGGATGTATTTATCTGTGTATTCGCTTTTCAGCGTTTATCTCTTGATTTGGTGTTTGTTTATTTGTCAAAGCCATATTATGGTGTCTAGAATCTTGAAGTACTTGAGCACCCTAGCACGAGCCCAGTCTCGCTGCGCTGGCAAAACCAGCAGAGGGGTACGGTCGGTCGAAGTTGAAGGACTGAGTCACGGCCCATGTTCCGTTGGAACCCACCTCCAGGATTGTAGTGTTTGGCGAAGTTTAGCGTCAAGGGTCCGGGTTTCGAGTTTATATTATAAAAAGGCATTGTCTTGAAAGTCATGCCCTCTTTGAAGGTCAGGGTTTAGGGATTTTTCGTTTTGCGGTGTTGGGGTTGAAGTCTTTAAGTCTTTAAGGGTTTGGAAACCGCCTCTATGATGGTCACTGTGGAGAAGTAAGCATCCGCACGACCCACGACGGCCTTGCCGGAGGATGAGACTCCGACTAGCGTCGGTTGCCGATCCTTGGCTGGCTACTGCACACCACACACACAAATATATATATATATATATATGGTCACCCCCCCCAATGGACCCACCGCGGGCCTTGATCTTTGCAAAAGTACCGCAAATACCGATAAAACCTATGCTGTCTGGTGATTTTCCGGTGACCGGATTTTTGACTGTATTCCTTAATTCACTCTCTCACACACACAGAGGGTTTTTCTTTCTGTTGGCTTTTGTTTTTTTGATTTAGGCATCTAAACCTAAGCCTGCAAAAAAAGCCCTTAACCTTTAAACCCTGTAGGGTTGAGGTTTAAAGGTTAAGGGTTTAAGATTTAGGCATTTGAACCTATGCCGGGAATTAAACCCTAAGCCCTTAACCTTTAAATTCTATAGGGTTAAGGTTTTTACAGGTTTAGGGTTTAAGATGTAGGCATTTAAAGCTAAGCCTGCAACTAATTTAAAACCCTTAACCTTTAAACCCTGTAGGGTTAAGGTTTCAAGGCTTAGGGTTTAAGATTTAGCCATTTAAACCTGTAGCCAAGCCCTTAACCTTTAAGCCCCATAGGGTTAAGATCCTTAAAGGTTTAGGATTTAAGATTTAAGCATGTAAATCTCAGATTTCAATGAATTTTAAATCCTTAACCTTTAAACCCTGTTGGGCTAAGGTTTAAAGGTTTCGGGCTTAAGATTTAGGCATTTAAACCTATTCCGGCAATTAACGCTAAGCCTTTAACCTTTAAACCCTATAGGGTTAAGATATTTAAAGGTTTAGAGTTTAAGTTTCAGGTTTAGGTATTTAGACCTATGCCGGCAGTTCATATTGAACCCTTAACCTTAAACCCTATAGGGATAAGATTTAAAGGTTTAGGATTCTTTGCTTAGACATGTAAATCTAAGCTTGCAATTAACCCGAAACCCTTAACCTTTAAACCCTATAGGGTGAAAGTTTAAAGTTTTAGGGTTTAAGATTCAGACATTTAAACCTAAGACGGACCCTTAACCTTTAAACCCTATAGGGTTAAGGTTTAAATGTTTGGGGTTTAAGATTTAGGCATTTAAACCTAAGTATGTAATTAATTTGTCACCCTTAACACCCTTAAACTCTGTAGTGTGAAGGTTTAAACGTTTAGGGTTTAAGATTTAGACATTTAAACCTAAGCCCATAGAGTTTAAACCTTAAGGGTTTAAGGTTTAGGCATCTATTCCTTAACCCTAAACCCTCTAGGGTCAGGACCCTAAAGCCCTCGGCAATCAAGCCTAAACCCTTGACCTTCAAACCCCATAGGATGAAGGTTTGAAGGTTTGGGGTTTAAGGCTAAGGCATTTAAACCTAGAGGGCATTTAAGCCTTAACCCTAAACCCTTCAGGGTCAGAACCTTAGCACCCTATATGGATCTAGCACCTGCAGGTATACATCGGTTTTTAAACCATTACACCCTGTAAGAAGGTTTAGGGTCTTTTCGGGGTCTGTCTCTAAATTTCTCACGGGGTTAACCCTGCAGGGTTTAAAGTTAAAGGTTTAGGATTAAAGGTTTAGGCAATACCTGAAGGATTAGAAGTCTTCTCCTGGTAAAACCATCTTTTCTCGAGAAAAAGATTGTTTTTCGAAGGATGGTTGCTCAAAACCATCTTTTTCTCGAGAAAAAGATGGTTTCCAACCAAAAAACCATCTTTTTCTCGAGAAAACAAAAAAAACCAAAAAAACAAAAAAAACAATCTTTTCCAAAACTATGGGGCTGGGGCCTCCAAAAGATGGTTTTTTTGGTTTTCTCGAGAAAAAGATGGTTTTTTTGGTTCGGAACCATCTTTTTCTCGAGAAAAAGATGGTTTTCGAGGGATCTCGAGAAAACCAAAAAAACCAAAAACTCAAAAAAAAACACCAAAAAAACAAAAAAACCAATCAAAAACAAAAAAACAAACATAAAACAAAAACACCACCAAAAAAACATCTTTTCCAAAACTATGGGGCTGGGGCCTCCAAAAGATGTTTTTTTTTTGGTTTTCTCGAGAAAAAGATGGCTTTTTGGTTCGAAACCATCTTTTTCTCGAGAAAAAGCTGGTTTTGAGCAACCATCCTTCGAAAAACCATCCTTTTCTCGAGAAAAAGATGGTTTTTGAGCAGCCACCCTTCGAAAAACCATCTTTTTCTCGAGAAAAAGATGGTTCCGAACCAAAAAAAACCATCTTTTTCTCGAGAAAACAAAAAAACATCTTTTGGAGGCCCCAGCCCCATAGTTTTAGAAAAGATGTTTTTTCTTTTTTTTTTTTTTTTTTTTTTTTTTTTTTGTTTTTGTTAGTTCTTGTGGTTGTTTTTTCCTTGATCTGGCTAGGACGCGGCTGCCGCCCGCGGTGGGTCCATTGGGGGGGGGGGGGGTGAGCATATACATATGTATATATATATATATACGCATGTGTATGTGTATATACACATAAATCATAAACACATGTATGTACATATGAATATATATATATATATACATACATAGATATACACATAAGTATATACATGCATACATACATACATACATACATACATACATACATACATACATACACACGCATACAAACAGACAGACAGACAGACAGACAGGTATACAGACAATACAGACACACCGACATATACATGTGTATGTGTGTATATACATATATATAGCTGTACATATACATATAAACATATATATATATATGCATATGTAACGTATATCAAAGCAATTCGATGGACACCAGCAAAGCTAAAGGCCCCTCCTCCAGATAAAGAAAACAGCCGCGATTCGCCGTGGTTGATCCGGAAGACTTCTGGCCACAGCCCGCCTTGCTCTTCGTAGATCACCGTCACATAATTTGCATCTGCAAAGGACATCCATGCCGCAATGATGTAGTCTCCGTCCACGTCCACTCCGAGACCCACTACCGGATTGCTGGGGGCTGGGATGGTTGCCACGTTGGACCAGAAGCTCCCAGCCCAGTGGTAGACGGACACCACGTCTCCCAGAAACGCTAAAGTCCGACCGTCGGTTTTGTAGAGGCTTGATTGCCCTTGCAGTTCTGCGGTGGGCACAAGTGACCAGATTGATCCTTGCAGCTGGAAGGTCTGGGAACCGTAATCCCCAAGGACGAGTAAGTCTCCCCCGAGAGCCATGGACGTGGTGTCATCGGGAACACATTGCTTTCCCAAGAAAATCCAGGAAGCTCCGTCGCGCTTGAAGGTGTAGATGCAGCTAAGTCCATCCACGCCGAAGGCCACGACGATATCACTACTCAGGGCTACATTTGATACCCAATCATTTGGCAAGGTCACGTTCTGGCTTGCTATTTGCGTGAGGTTCGCCTGTAACTCCCATCCTGCATCTGCCGAGGTTTTGAACACTAGGACGTCGCCGGGGACTCGCGGTGCCAATGGATTTTCACTTGCGGAGGATGGCCATGCCATAAGGATGGTATCGCCATCGGCTCCAGTAAACGTCCGGAGGAGCCCGTGTTAGTTAGCGCTGTCACTCGCAACTGCTCCGTCCAGTCAGCGCCGGAAGCGCAGTCCAGCCCCGATGCCTCAAGATGACGTACTTCCGAGAACTGCACGCGACTCGTGCCGGGAGAGCTGTGGGCACTCTGGCTCAGAACTCGCCCTATCATGCACCAGGCCCCGATACTCCGCATGGCCCTACAGCTTGTCCACATTGGGAAAAAGGTTGGGCAACCTGGCTAAGCCTCACATCCGCGACTTGCCAAGCATGGTCTACATCTACATGCAACGTACTCCAGGTCTCTCCAATCCATCAGGTTGGTTTGAGCTTGTTGGGCAAGGGGTGGCAGGGGTAAGATTGAAGCCCTACACCGCAACCGCACCTTTCGGCTGAACTCGTAGGCGCCCTCCTTCCAGGAGTGGGTGACGAAGAAGAACTCTCCGTCCAGGCCCTGCGGAGCGTTTTGTGGGCACTTCCAGCGGGCTTCAAGTTCGATGCTTGGGCCGTGGGCGAGGGTTGCAGCTCGACGTGTGGGGGTGCGTCATGGGCTTGAGGGCCTTAGATGGCTTCACAACCACAAAAGCCCTTATACAAGTGCAAAACGGGTCGTAGCACGCCGGGACATATGGTATCACAGCATGCAAGCCGAATGCTACTAGTTTTGGGTAAGGGTTGGGGCGGAGTTTCGGAGGGGCAGAGGGTTTTGGGTCTAGTTTGTGGTTCTCGAAGCGGTTTGGCTCCAACCGCTGTTGAATTTGGACCGCTTGTTAGTTTTCGAATGGTCTGCTTTGCATCTGGAATCTGGACGACATCGCCACCCTACTACAACTCTAACTAAAGGAATGAATGTGTTGTCTCCTTAAAGGTTTGCACCAAGGTTGTCTCACACATCTATCAGACAGTGCAAGGTTGTCGCTTACGTCCCAGGATCCAGGAGCAAGGTGGCCCACATTCAAACCGAGTTCAAAACTTGAGAAGCGGGACAGCACGGCCCCAACCCATACATTCAACCATGACGCAAGCCATAGGACTATAGGAGTCAATTCAAGCATTCATGGGACTCTTGCTCAAAGGCAGGAGCGATTTGTCGGTTGTAAGTGTCGGAGCCAAGCCGACTTTTACTCCTATGAATCAGACCCTGCCCGTACAGCAAGCCCAACACCCTCACAAGAGACGCTCTGAAACCTCAATCCTGCCCCTGCAGGAAAGTGCAGACCCTTGCAAGAACACACTTGCAGCTCGCAAGCCCTCACAAGGCACCCTCCTCCGAAACCTCTATAGGATTCGGTTTGCATGGCTGCTGTTTGGTTGTAGCACAAGCTGATTCGAGCCCCGCTCCCGTATGCCTAGCCCCTGAAGGACTTAGTATTTCGGGCTTGGGAGGTGTTTGGGTCTAGTGGAGGCCCGTACCTCATCTGTACAACTTCTGTGGAACTTTCACCCAAAGCCCAAACGAACTTTCGCAGCCCTCGCAGCGTCTTGTAGTGTCTACATCTCCAGCTGGGGCTTCGAGCAACCCTATGCCAATCGCTTAGGGTTTCGGGCTGCAGGGTCTTGCGGAGTGCTCTTGCGGTTAGAGGTTCAGGGTTCAGGGTTCAGGGTTTAGGGTTTAGGGTTTAGGGTTTAGGGTTTAGGGTTTAGGGTTTAGGGTTTAGGGTTTAGGGTTTAGTTTGAGGTTTGGAGTCTAGAAATTAGTCAGGCCACATGTGTTGTCCCCGCATGTTCAGGACAACCTTCCAGGCTCCAACAACAATGCCCTTGCATGCCCTGAAACCTGAAGAAGCTGAAGGATGAAGGAAGGTCTGAGTGGGCTCTGACAGCTTGGGGTCTAGGATTGAAAAATCGGATGCTTTTTTTAACATGTCGGTCGTTACAACATGCCCCCTGTACCCTCGACCATCAGCCAAGAAAGGCCCCAAGAACACAGCCTCCGGGCTCAGCATCAGTGCCCAGGACATGCCACCAGCCTCAAGTGTCCTGCATTTTTTTTTGCGTGCGTGCGTGCGTGCGTGCGTGCGTGCGTGCGTGCGTGCGTGCGTGCGTGCGTGCGTGCGTGCGTGCGTGCGTGCGTGCGTGCGTGCGTGCGTGCGTGCGTGCGTGCGTGCGTGCGTGCGTGCGTGCGTGCGTGCGTGCGTGTGCGTGCGTGCGTGCGTGCGTGCGTGCGTGCGTGCGTGCGTGCGTGCGTGCGTGCGTGCGTGCGTGCGTGCGTGCGTGCGTGCGTGCGTGCGTGCGTGCGTGCGTGCGTGCGTGCGTGCGTGCGTGCGTGCGTGCGTGCGTGCGTGGGTGTGTGTGTGTGTGTGTGTGTGTGTGTGTGTGTGTGTGTGTGTGTCTGTGTGTGTGTTCGGAACATCGCTCCTGGAATGGGGCATTTCGACAAGGAATCAAAGATCTTCTGCAATTCAGCCCTACTCTTCCCGGCGCTCAGCCTTCGAATCTTTACAGTTCCTGACCAGCTCACGCACCATGGCCGCATGCAGAATGGTTTGGTTCAGAACTGTGGTGTGTGTGTGTGTGTGCATGCGTATGGGGAAGCCTTCCAGCACGGGCACACATGCAGTTCCGACTCTAAGCTCTGAAGCCGACAGCCTGAATCCTAGCACTAAACCCCTGATCGTATGTCCCCTGTCCTAGGCTTGATCACCGCGCCATTCACCTTGTGGCCATGACGCTTCAGGGAGAAGCATCTTGGGTAAACTTTATGTACCCTACCTAAACAGCATAAGGTTCGGGGGGGGGGCTCAGGGTCCTAAGGTTTGGATCAGGGCTTCTTCAGAGTTTGTGCCAGGCTTGGGCCTTAGGGCCTTGGGGCTTGGGAGGAAGGGTTCCATTCTACGGTTCAGTGCCTCCGCCCGGTATCAGGCTTGGGTTCTTAGCAGCGACAGGTCTCGGTTTAGGGTTGTGGGTTTAGGCAGCTGTCAGCTGGCCTAAGTCGCCCGAATCCTTTGATTCCTAAAGCACGCCTCAATCCTATCCAGGAGCTCGTGTGAGCCCTGAACTTCAAACCTGGGTCCCAGTAGGGGTGTATTAGGGTTAGGGGTTTAGGGTTGCATGCTGCCGCATCTCAAGTCCACGGGGTAGCTAAGTGATCATGCGTGGCCCAGGTGAGGCATGTGCTCTCTTCACCTCGCTTGGGACCCTCCATCGAAAGGAAAGAAACGACCTCCAAGTTGGAAAGCTCAAAGAAGGCCCCGGCAGTGCAAAGCCTTGAACAACAGTCCGTAGTAGGGGGTTCTAGTGCTCTACCCCTATTATAATCCTATTAAGGACTGTTAGTATAACGGGAACATCCCAAACCTGAACCCCCCCCCCCCTCCCCAAAAAAGAGGCAAAAAGCAAACCTCCGTAACGGACGCCGTGCGGCCGAATGCATATTGGGCCCAATCTGCGGGTCGTCGTGGTACGGGTTGGACCTACTTCGGAGCTCGAGGCTTCCACAGGACAGTGGCGCAAGAACCCGAAGCCGGAAGTGGGTTTGAGGATCACCCTAAACCCTAAACCCTAAACCCTAAACCCTGAACCCTAAACCCGCTTACTGTAAGTCTTCAGGCTTTGGCATTAGAAGGGTTTGCGTGTTTAGGTTCGTGCCTTCTGGATGCCGGCGTTGAAGTGGTGTAGATGATTTCTGAACAGTTGATGGAGCTCCGGTTGAGAACCTTTCCAACCTGCACAACCTTCAACACGTTGGAAACTTTTAGGAGCTTTTTGACCTCTTAAAGTTTGCGAACTCAGCAAGCTTTTAGAACTCCGTGAGGTTGATGCATTCAGTAAAGCCTCAAGAGCTGTCAGACCAGTTTATCTGTCAGAACCGTTTGAGCGTTGACATGGGCATCGCATTATTTCGCTGATCTCCTACAAGTTCTAAGATGTTTGAAAGGCTCTGAAAGTTTGATCCACAAACTCTTGTTCGACATGCCACATGTCCAGGTTGTATGAAAGCTCCAAAGGCCTGTCATGATATATTCAGGTCGCAGGACTGCAGATTCTGCGTGGAACCGTCCGGGGGGACAGTTGTAGAAAACCTTCAAGCGCCTTTGAATTCCAAACTTCTACTTAAAACCGTTTCTCGTTTTGGAGCTTTTTAAGGTCGTCATGGCAGCAAGCAGAACTGGCACACTACACACTCCACGTTAAGAGTAGCGAATGGTTTCCCACGTGCCACTCACACAGTCAACCCTTAGGATTTCCTGGGCTCCGGGGTTTCTGGAATTAGGGCAACTCATGTTGGGGCTCAGGGTTTAGGGTTGAGGGTCTCGGGTTGAGGTTCCAAGGGTTCGGCTGAAACCTTAGACTTCTGGAAGCCGAAAGCCCACCCTGAAACGGCTTAGGCTCCTGAACCCCAACTTACCATTGGGCATTTGAAGCTGTAGCACACCCTGCATAATACGCAAAGGGATGCTGAGGGACTCCTTCAGGGCAAACACGACATTTATGGGTCAGAAAGAATCCCTAACCCAACGCTATGTTCAGAATGCTGGTGAGCAGCAGGAGCGTCCGCGGGTTGACTTTGTTCTCGATCCTGGCAGGCTGCATGCAGACTTCTCGAACCTAGCTTAAACCCTGCAAAAAAAACAACGAAACTACCATAACAACGATACTACCATACATTACTCATCTACTATACAGCAGCATATATGGTCCTTTTGCCTGCGCAATCATGTTTGAACATCTCTAGACGGTTGACTGGCAGCCTTTCCAGGCCCGATACCGCCAGCCAGATGACGGGGCTCCAATCTTCAATCCAAACATCAAAAACCAACATGGGGTTTCCGAAATTAGGGGTACCTACTTGGGGTCCATAGTATGAGGGGATCGTGCTATTAGGGGATCTATATTGGGGCTCCCCTATTTTCGTAAACCCCCACATCACCGCACTTGAGATTTGTCCTACTAATGTCTTGGGGTGTTGCAGGGGGTGGGTTCATGAAAGAAGCAACTGCAAACTAAACTGCATCTAGGTTTACCAAAACCT